CCGGCAGTGTGGTTTTGTTGTAGTTGTGTAGCTTCTCTGCCATTGGGGCTGAGACATCCAGTAGGACCCCTGGTGGGAAGGCTGGGCAGCCTCTTGACATCCACAAAGCTGCTCGGTAGTCTTAGCATCTGGAGTGCTTCCATTCACTTTTGGAATCTAAGAGAGAATCGGGATTGTGTGAGGATGCTTTAGAGGGCAGGGAGGGTTACTGCATCATTGATTGTGCCTAGTTTTATTTTTCACACTCATTGAACAGTAACTTTTCCAAGAGAAACGTGCTCAGAAATCGATGCTGTACACCTTCTGGGTCTCTCGAATTTTGTCAGTGAGATAGCTGGCAGTCGCATTGTAAGCTTTTCTTTCTTCTTTCCTTCCTTTTCTTTTCTTTCTTGGCTATTTCCCAGGGAATAAGTGACAGCTTCAAACCCCTTGTGTCCTAATGATGGCCCCAGCGCCACCAAGGGAAAGGCCAGAAATGCCCCTTCCCTACTTGTGGTCGTCCTAGTCACACGCAGCTGCTTGGAATTGCCTGTCTGAGGATTAATTTGAGGAGAAAGTGAGAATGTGATTTGAATGGTCTTGGGAGTTAGTTCCTTGTTATGGATGACAGTAAGTGGCTTCTAGTTTAATACTTGTTCTCCAGAACTGGGTTTTTTTGTTTGTTTGTTTTCTCAAGGAATTATATTTTAGATGGGAACATATTGACAATTGGAAGAGGAAAGTGCTCTATTAGAATGAATTTCAGAGTCATCCTGGTTGCATTCGTTGGACATTGATTTTAGAGCAAATTGTAGCTTAAATACAGGCAGTTGCCTGGGTTATGAATCTCTGACTTACATATAACCTGTAGTTATGAACCAACCCCCATGTTGTTGTTTGGTGCCAATGAGTGGGTTCCGACTCGAAAGCGACCTTATGTACAACAGAATGAAACACCGCCCAGTCATGCACCATCCTAACAATTGTTGTTATGCTTGAGCCCATTGTTGCAGCCACTGTTTCAATCCATCTTGTTGAGGGTCTTCCTCTTTATCACTGACCATCTACTTTACCAAGCATGAAGTCCTTCTCCAGGGACTGGTCCCTCCTGATAACATGTCCAAAGTACGTGAGACAAAGTCTCACCGTCCTCACTTCTAAGGAGCATTCTGGCTGTACTTCTTCTAAGACAGACTTGTTCTTTCCTCTGGCAGTCCATGGGATATTCAGTATTCTTCACCAACACAATTCAAAGGTGTCAGTTCTTTTTTGGTCTTCCTTATTCATTGTCCAGCTTTCACATGCATCTGAGGCAATTGAAAACACCATGGTTTGGGTCAGGCGCACCTTAGTCCTCAAAACGACATCTTTGCTTTTAAACACTTTAAGAGGTCTTTTGCAGCAGATTTGCCCATTGCAACGCGTCGTTTGATTTTTTGGCTGCTACTTCCATGGGCATTGATTGTGGATCCAAGTAAAATGAAATCCTTAACAACTTCAATATTTTCCCTGTTTTTCATGATGTTGCTTATTGGTCCAGTTGTTAGGACTTCTGTTTTTATGTTGAGGTGTAATCCATACTAAAGGCTGTGGTCTTTGATCTTCATCAGTAAGTGCTTCAAGTCCTCTTCACTTTCAGCAAGCACGGTTGTGTCATCTGTATAACGCAGGTTGTTGATGAGTCTTCCTCCAATCCTGATGCCCCGTTCCTCTTTAAGTAGTCCAGCTTCTCGGATTATTTGCTCAGCATACAGATTGAGTAAGTGTGGTGAAAGGATGCAGCCCTGACACACACCTTTCCTGACTTTAAACCATGCAGTATCCCCTTGTTCTGTTCGAACGACTGTCTCTTGGTCTGTGCACAGGCTCTGCGTGAGCACAATGAAGGGTACTGAGAATTATGTAGGAGTGGTCATGAATTGATCTCCTCTGCTATTTTGGGACTTAGCTTCTGTTCAATTGCTGACATGATCCTTCCTCCTGCCCAGTAGTTTGCTTCCTTCTGTTTGGTGGCCGTGCTGAGAAGCAGCGGCACCCCAGTAGTAAGAGCACACCCTTGCCTGGACTTTAGCTTCTAATGCCCTTCCCTACAGAAAGGGCAGGGCCCCTTGGAGACGTGGCTGATTCTAGGTCTGGGCAGGGGTGGTACAAGATGGGCCTGGAACATCTTTCTGTGCCAGAAGATAAGAAAGACTTGGGGGTGGGGTGGGGGGAGGACTCTGGTTGTGCCTGGTGGGGAACAAAGCAGGCCTCTTTAACTCCTCCGGGCAGTAGCGTGTGCTTTCATGTGTTTTTTTAATATTTATTTATTTTTGGTAGTGGTATCCACAGCCACACATACGTTCATTCACAATTTCTCCATGAACAGCTCGGTGACACTGATTGCATACTTCACACTGTGTCGCCGTTCTCCCTGTCTCTGCCCGTATTGTGTCACCACCATTCATTTGGGCTCTGCCCTTAGGGTTCCCATCTGCTCTTTAGATCAACTGTGCTCAGTTTATACTCGTGTATATAGTGCCTTATAAGAGTGCTGTGCTCCAGCCAATGTTCTTTATTGACTGGGCCTGATCTGTTGTTTAGTTTCATGATGGCTTCAGTGGATAATTTCAGTTCAATGTTTAAAGATTATTTCTGGCCCTTAGATTTGGGGGCTCCCCTGGTCTCGATGATTTTGTATTTTTTGATGCTATTATAAATGGTCTTTTTAAAATTTCAATTTCCAGTTGTTTATTGCTAAGCCAAAAACCAAACCCGTTGCTGTCGAGCTGATTCCAACTCATGGTGACCCTGTTCAACAGAGTGGAACTGCCTCACAGGGTCTCCAAGGAGCGGCTGGTGGATTTGAACCGCTGACCTTTTAGTTAGCAGCCGAGCTCTTAAGCACGAGTATATAGAAATACCGTTGATTTTTCACACACTGATCTTGTACCTTGCAGACTTACCACACTTAGTTATTTGTTGTAATAGCTTTTTTGTAGATTCCATTGGATTTTTTATCAGGAATGGATTTTGGATTTTGTCAGATGCTTTTTACACATCTATTGAGATGATAATATGTTTTTTCTTTTTTAGTTTGTTAATTAAATGGTTGAGATTGTCAGATTGGATAAAAAAAGCAGGACACAACTATATGCTGCCTATAAGAAACACACTTTAAATAGAAAGACACAAATATGGTAAAAGTGGAAGGATAGACAAAGACGGACCAGGCTGACACTGGGCGGAAGAAAGCAGGAGCGGCTACGTTAGTATCAGACACAGTGGATGCAAGAACAAAAGACATTACCTGGGATAAGGAGGATCATTTCATAATGACAGAGGCGTCAGCTTGTCGAGAAGCTGTAACAATCCTAAACCTCTGTGCACCTGATAGCAGGAGCCAGACACAAAAGACAGCAGAGTTTGTATGGTTCCATTTATAGGAAATGTCCAGAAAAGGCACATTTATAGAAACAGAAATCAAGTCAGTGTTTGCCTGGGGTTGGGGGTGGGAATGGAGACCAACAGCAGCTGGACATGGTGGAACTTTGTGGTATGACGAAAATGTTCTAAAACTGGATTTTAGTGATGATTTCACAGTCTATAAATTTACTTAAAATCACTGAGTTTGTATACTTGCAATGGGTAAATGTTATGACATGTAAGTTACACCTCAATAAAGCTGCTAAGAAAATAATGAGGGCATGTCAAAAAAACACGGTAGCCAATTTGAAGGGTCTCCCCTGGCCAAGTCTGGGACCATTTGAGCATAAAGACAGTAATGAATTATAAACTATTTTAAAAATGTAGGTATCCATGAGTTCATTTTGATAATAAATAGAAAGGTAAAATGTGCAAGGAAGCAGGGTTCTTCCTACCTCAGATGGGGAGATCTGGAGATTAGTGTGCTTGAGTTGAAAATCACTATTTTGTGACCATCAGAGTAAAGACTGGTTTGGATAGGAATCTTCATGAATGCTAAATCTGGGCTGAAAATATGATTAAAAGAAGGGTATATGCATGCTCTTAAAGTCAGGGCCGTGGTGGTTCAGTGGTAGAATTCTTACCTTCTGTGAGGGAGACCCAGATTTGGTTCCTGGCCAGCGCGCCTCATGTGCGGCCACCACTCGCCTGTCAGTGGAGGCTTGTGTGTTGCTATGATGCTGAACAGGTTCCAGATCAGGAGACTAGGAGGAGAGGCCTAGTGATCTACTTCTGAAAAATCAGCCAATGAAAACCCGATGGATCACAACGGTCTGATCTCACTGCGCATGGGGTTGTCTGAGCCAGGGCCGACTCAGGAGCAGCTAAGAGCAACATTGTTGGTTCCTAAGAGCCTAGAAGGTTTTGTGTGTAAGCAGTAGTACTATAAGTAGTAATCGATTAAAGAGAAAGTGGAGCTCTGGGGGCCTGCAGGACTGTTCACTGTCCTTAGGGACCTTGGGTTATTTCACGTTTCATATTCCTTTCACGGCATGAGTTTATTGATATTTATGAAACACTATGGAATTTTTTAAAAAGTATTGCTTTGCATTATGGTCTTAAATCTGACCATCTTAGGAGTGACAAAAGAAGTATGTGGCCAGCATTCTTTTCTAGAAGCTTCTATGGGTGGGTATTCTCGCCATCACGCTGAACAGGCAGGGCTCCCATGCTGTCCGCTGCTAGGACCTTCACCTGTTCCTGCTGTCTGGCTGACCTCTGAGTCCCGTGGGGCAGGCCCACGTCTGTCTCAAGTTATTTCCACCACACATGACCCCAGTAGGCCCTGGGTAGATCCCTCTGGGTGAGTGAATCATGAGAGCGTGTTGCCCTATGGACAGGGTTACACCCCACCCCGCTTTCCTGAAGACGACCTGGCACCCAGTCTGCACGCTCCTTCAGGACTTGTAGGAACTCAGAGCTACTGCTGGTTCCTCTGAAGCCCCGGCTATGGTTGAACCTCTAAGCTGTTACATGAGAACCACTCACAACAGCCTGCTCCTGCCACAGCCCTTCCTCACTCTTCCCTACTAACAGGTTTTCACCCCCTTTCCCAGTTTCTCCGGATATGTGCCGACCTCTTCCGCCTGGTCCCGTTCCTTGTCTTCGTGGTGGTGCCCTTCATGGAGTTCCTGCTTCCTGTGGCCGTGAAGCTGTTCCCCAACATGCTGCCGTCCACGTTTGAGACCCAGTCTGTCAAGGTGACAGGAATGGCGATGGGATGAGCTCATTTCGGAATGGGTTTGACGTTACTTAACGATCTCATTTGTTGACCAGATTTCAGGGGTTAGATATTTTGGGGCTTTATGTTGTCCTCGTAATTCAGTCTTGCTGCTGTACCAGGATTATTTAATGGACGCTCAGCTTCTGATGTGTTCCTCTTTAAATGTGTTTTAAAATATGGTTCCCCTAGACCACTGTTTTTCAAACCACAGGTTGGGACCCATTATGAGGATGGGTAATCAGCGCCTCCAGCCTGTTTGTGTCTGCAGTCTTACGGGACACAGCCACACCCTTTTGGGTTGCAACAGCCGAGTTAAGAAACTGTGACGGACGTCTGGCTGCAAAGCCTAACATCTTTACTCTCTGGCCTCTTACAGGAAATGTTTGCCAACCCGTGGCCTAGGCGGTCACAGCAAACTTTTTTTTTTTTTTTTAAATTTATTTTGTTGTTGTTGCTGTTGAAAATATACACAGCAAAACAAACACCAGTTCAACAGTTTCTACGTGTACAGTTCAGTGACACTGATTACATTTTTCGAGTTGTGCAGCCATTCTCACCCTCCTTTTCTGAGTTGTTCCTCCCTCATTAATATAAACTCACAGCCCCCTAAGCTTATTGTCTAACCTTTGCAGTTGCTGTTGTCTGTTTGATCCCATATAGATAGACAGTTCTTAAAAGAGCATAATGCTCAAGGCAGACCTTTTTTACTAGTTAAGATAAACTATTGTTTGGTTTTAAGAAGACTTCAGGGGATATTTTTGGTTTAAGGTTTAAAGATTATCTCAGGGCAATAGTTTCAGGGGTTCATTCAACCTCCATGGCTCCAGAAAGTCTGGAGTCCATGAGAATTTGAAATTCTGTTCTGCATCTTCCCCGTTTTGATCAGGATTCTTTGATCAAAATGTTTGGTAAAGGTAGCCAGGCACCATCCAGTTCTTCTGGTCTCATGGCAGAGGAGGCACTGGTTGCAAATGTTTTTTAAAACTGTGAATAGAAGGGAAAATTTCAGAATGCATGGCCTCTAGATGAGAGTGAGCCTGGCTCTGTGCCATGTTTGTCTTATTGGACGCACTTGTGCACGCATACCCATGTGTGGTGTGGGTACGGGGTTGAGATGTAAAACATATTTCTTACTCTGAGTATGGGGAAAAAAGAGCTGAAACATGCTATTCTAACCCATGCTGCCTGCTGAGGAGTCATGATGCAGCACTGTGTCTTGGGTGGCCTGAGGAATGGCACAGAGCAGGGGGAGAGTGGGCAGTGGCCTCGGTTTGGTGGAGCAGGGAGGCCAGCTGGGTGGCGGATGGGGGTCTCAGGGGAGTGCAGCGCCCCCTCTCTTTAACCTTGCAGGAGGAGAAGATGAAGAAGCAGCTGCGGGTCAAGCTCGAGCTGGCTAAGTTTCTCCAGGACACCATTGAGGAGATGGCCTTGAAAAACAAAGTGGCCAAAGGAAATGCCACCAAAGACTTCTCGACATTCTTCCAGAAGGTGGCTGCGATACTTCTGCGCCTTCACGGCCTCAGCTCACTGGGGCAGAGTGCTGGCCAGAGCCTCCACACGCCAGTGCGCTTTGCCTGGGGCGAGCGCATCTTTCCTTCTTTCTTCTCACTATACTTAACAGACAGCAGAATCCCAGGCAAATGCTTACTAGTCCCGTAGGGTTACTAGGAGGCCTGATCTGCTGACGGGTATAATCCTTGGGGAACCCTTCTATCACATGCTCTGAGTGAAGTTGACCCTGTGTTCACGAGCACCCGAGCCATGCCCACAGTCGGAATGACGTGTTTGTTCCCATGGCTGTGCCAGCCGTCCCAGGGAGTGCGATGTGACAGCTGAGGAGCCTGAAATGCTGGGTGGGGACTTCCTGGGGGTCAGGGCTGGCCTTTCTGCCAGGCTCTGCCATCTCTCCATCTCTGCCTGAGGTCAGTCAGGAAAGACCATGTGCTGGCCGTTGGCAGCCCCAAGAGGATTGTTCTGGACGCCTGGATGAGGGACAGTGAGGGCCGTGAGGCAGCAGCAGGGGGTGGGCATTCTCTGAGTTAGGGGCGGGCTGGGAGGACTGGTGCCCTGAGGAGGTCCATGAGCGGAGGAGGAGGGCGAGCCGAGGTTTGTGGAGTTTGAGGCACTTGTGGAACTTTCTGGAGTCAGTTAGCAAAGTGTGTCTGGAGTTCAGGAAAAGTTTAAACCAGGGTCAGCAGACTGCTCCCGGGGGCAAGTGTGTCCACACCCCTTGGTCTGTGTGTTTTGGTGGTTGCTTCCTCCTGCAAAGATGGAGTCAGGCTGTTGGTGTCCTGCTCTGGCCATCAGGGACAGTGTGCCGACCCCTGCTCTGACTGTCCCACAGCCCGAGGGGCTGATGTGCCCACCAGGGAGACAGCAGCACTTGAGGAGCAGGTAGAGGGAGCTGGCTGTAGAAAGGTCACAGGAGGAGCAGGTAGAGGGAGCTGGCTGTAGAAAGGTCACAGGAGGTAGGGTGACAGCAAGGAGCCCTGAGTCTTGAAGGGTGATTTTGGTAGCATGGTGAGGGCAAAAGTCAGCCTGCAGTGGGCTGAGGGACAATGGGGGCTGGTTCTGGGAGAATCCAGCGCATCAGGGGCTGGCAAGATGGAGACTAGCAGGGGGAGACGCGAGCCCAGAGCGGGAGGTTGTGTAGCGGTGGGGATGCAAGAGACCAAGTCTTGGCCACAGCACCAGGTCCACGTAGGTGCCCATCTGGGCGCTGCCGGCTCAGGTCGGGCCTCCCTTGCCTGTTGCTCTCTAAGTGGAGACTGACCAGTGGGCTGTTTATCGGGCTGGGAGGGAGATGCAGGCAGTTGCCCGAAGAGCCTTGAGAAATCTGAGCCGAGTGGCCCTTGCCTCTTCCTAGACGGCAAAAAAAAGACACCAGCAGTGCAGGCTAGGGGCGTGAGATGGCCGGCCACTCCCTGGCGCTCTTTTAGAGTCACGGGGGGAGGGGTGATGTCTCCAGGCAGTGGGGTGCTTGACACGAGGGTCCTAGGATGCTACTCCACTGTTGCTTCCTGGGGTGAGGGAAAGATGGCAGAGCCTAAGCCCTGGCAGCAGGAGGGCCTGGGGCCTCTTCCCTGATAGGCAGCCTTGGCCTCTCCTGGCACAGGCAGGTACCAGAAAGAGGCAGGACAGGCCTCCAGGGCCCAGACATGACGTGCGTGCGTGTTTGTGTACTTGCGTGTGTGCATGGGCACCAGAGCCCACGTGCATCCCTCACAGACGGCCCAGCCCAGGCCCCCTGCCTGCCTGCATCTATCCTGCTCCCCCATCGCAGCCCACTGTGGTTAGATGGGAGGACAGCTCCCCAGCAGGAGCGGGGTGAAAGGGCAGATCTTAACGGGGCCAGGCTTGGGTGGTTCTGGATGAGGCTATCGAAGGCCAGGATAGTGGTAGGGATGGGTCACTTTACCCTGGGTTCTCGTTTCGTCACTTCAGGCCTTTGCCTTGAGGCCGTGGAATGGGTGCTAGGAAAACACACACACACACACACACACGCACACACACACACGCACGACGCGCGTGTGTGCATGACCAACCCAGTGGGTGAGCCTCGGTATTATCTTGCAGATCAGAGAGACTGGGGAGAGACCCAGCAACGAGGAAATCCTGCGTTTCTCTAAGTTATTTGAAGACGAGCTGACCCTGGACAACCTCACGCGGCCTCAGCTGGTGGCTCTGTGTAAGCTGCTGGAGCTGCAGTCCATCGGCACCAACAACTTCCTGCGCTTCCAGCTCATCATGAGGCTGCGCTCCATCAAAGCCGACGACAAGGTGGGCGCTTTCCTGCTTTCGGTACCTTTGTTTTCTGATTATAAAAGCAATGCGCCCTCATTGTAGAAAATCTGGAAAATACTGAAAACAATCACTGGCATTTAAAGATCATGACCGTCGGGGGTTTATGCGTTTCTGCCCACTCTGTGCTCCATATGCACGTAAGTAATGTGCGTGTGTTTATTTATTGAAGTTAGTGCTGGAGACGTACAGCCCATAAGATCTTTTCATTTGACAGAACATGATGAGTTCCCTCATGTCATAAATAATCATCGAAAAAGATGAATTTTAATGGCTGCCTAACATCATCATGTGAAGCATTGTCATTTATTTAACCATTACTTTAGCTAAGTTTTTGCCACCCTGAACAGTGCTGCCATAAATAGGTGAAGGTGGCGGTGAAGTCTGTTGCCCACTTTCACACCGCTGGACATGGTGGAGCTGTGGTACAGGCCCGACGGTCTGACCCCGCTGACCTGGCTTTTCCCTGTGCCGCTTTCTCCCATGAGGTTGTTCCTGAATAGCAAGAGTCTGAGGACCTTCCAGTCTGTCGCCTTCTCTTTGGGAAGTAGGAAGGGGAGCTGACTGCCAAGCGTCTTTTTCCGTGTTTGCTGGCCCTCCGGGTCTCCCTGTCTGTGAAAGGCTGGTCAGGTCTCTTCTCATTTTTCTCCTGTGGTGTCTTTTCCTCTTTGATTTGTGGGGATCTTTGCAGATTCTAGGTACGAGTCTCTTGTCAGAACTAGCATTGCAAATATCTTCTCCCAGTCTCGCACGGCTCACTCTTAAATAGTATCTTTTGATGAAGATAAGTTCTTAATTTTATGCAAAATTTAACACTTTTTTCCTTTATGGTTAATACTTCTGTGTCTTATTTCAGAAATTGCTCCCTACCCTAAAGTCATAAAAACGTTCTCTTGAGTCCCACCAGCTTTTTGTCCTTCACATTTAGGTCTCTCGTGCGTGGAGGGGTGGGGCCCACACTGTGAAAACGACATGGAGACGCTGTCTGACCTCCTCTCTCTCCACAGTGGGGAAGGAGAATCAAGATCAACAGCCTGAGGCTGGTTCCTATGAGGCAGAGGTCAGACATGCCTCCTCTCTCTGCCATCTTTACCAATTCTGATGCCAACTGTGACTCCTGTAGCACTCTTTACTTCTCTGCTGGGTTGGATAATTCTTTGCATTGGCCGCACACAACTCACAGACAATACTCACGATTATGAGGTTTATTAGTAACAGGTCACAATTCAGGCTCAGGAACACTCAGGATACAGTTCTTCCATCAGGACAGCCTCTTCCCAGCCGTGCTGCAGGCTCACCTCTCTGTGGCCTGTTGGCTTCTGCCCTGCTCAGGCAAGTGTTACAAAGCTCTTGTAGCCCCTGCCAATGAGTCCCCAGAGGCACCCCACTCCTCCAGTAAGCCTTGGCCCAGAGACACAGCTTTGTCACTCTGGGCCGGGAAGCCCACTGCACGGTCTCCGGCTGGTCTCGCCTCCCGCCGCTTCTCACCGTCTTCAGGGTTACGGCTCTGTCTCTCTCAGTCTCCTAGTTCCAAGAGCTTCTCAGCACAGGCATCCCAGGTCCAAAGGATGTGCTCTCCGCTCCTGGCTATTCTTGTCTGGTGGTGGTAGGATCCTCTATCTGCTCTAGAATTGGCTCTATTTTAAGGCAAAACTGACCAATCCCCATGGTGGACCACAGTTGCCTTATTTGCACAGACCGTGGCTAGAAAGGCCACGCGAAAGCGATCGATCGCACAGCACACGCCCACGGTTTTCCCTGGGGGTAGTGGATTGTCCTTCACCAGTCACTGCTATGCAGGGCCCTCTGTCTCGTCCGTCTGCTCCTCCCTGAGCTGGACCACCCTACTTTTAAGATTATATAGGAATTTATTGTGTTTTCCTTAAATCCGTTCGTTTCCTGAGCCACTACACTTGGATTTCCAACCTCATTATTCCTCCATTAGTACTTGGGCAGAGGTTATTGCTTACCTAATAAATAGTACGGTCCTCTTCTCATTATTTGCCGTAGTTAAGTTCTATAAAGTTCCTGTGAACACTGAATTATCAAATACCAGACCAGGCTTGTTGGCTCCCTGTGCATGCCGTGGATGAGCATGAGCACCATGAGTATTTTTAACAAATAGGCAACTTTGCAAATATGGAATCCGTGAATAATGAGGACTGACTGTGTATTAATAGCTAATGTTTGCTGACCACCTAACATGCAGTTTCTATGTCTTGATTAATTGAATCCTCATGTAACTCTAGGGGAGGGACTGAGGAAGAAACTGAGGCACACAGATTTAAGTAACTGCATAGGGTTCAGCAGCAGGTAGGGGTAGCTCCTGGCCCTGTGCCTGGTCTGGGCCACACAGCCTAGATCTCACAGACAACCCTATTGCAGGCCATCTGCGGTATGCATGGACCGTAAGTCACCTCACCAAGCCCTCTGGTAACTCATGTGGGTTGCGGGTGTGCTTTGGCTTCTGCCTCCTCTCTCTTGGTGGGCCCACCCTGGGACAGACAACTGCAAGTGTGGCTCCCTGGGACTGAGTCCTGGCCTGGTCGCTCACCTGCCTCGTGACCTTGCACAAGCTGTGTAACCTGTCAGCGCCTCAAATTCTCATCTATGAAATGGAGATAGTGGCCAGACTTCCACTTTTGGTAAGATGGAATTGAGGTAATTTTCCTGCTAAAAAAACCGGTTGCCGTCGTGTTGATTCCAACTCATAGCGACCCTGTAGGACGGAGTAGAACTGCACCATAGGGTTTCCACGGAGCGCCTGGTGGATTTGAACTACCGACCTTTTGGTTAGCAGCCGTAGCTCTTAACCACTACGCCACCAGGGTTTCCCATTAAGTTCAACCAAAAACCCTGGGTGTTATATGTAAAACAAACATAAGAAGTCTCCGAAAAGCAGAGAGAAGAGGGCAGACTGGCTAGAGATCTTGGGAGTCAATAAGCGACACAGTGGCAAGTTTCTGGGGTTTTGTTTTTGCCTCGTATACCTCCTACTTGGAGCTGAAGAAGCCAGCAACCCAGAAGTGCCGGTGAGCAGACAACAAAGACCCAACAAAAGCCTGCTTTATCTAGCCAAAGGACTAGGAAAGGGGCAGCCTACCAAGACAGGAAATGTTTAGACAGTAACTACTCCACTGCAGCAAGACACTGCAGAGAAGACTGACCCCACCCCCCCTCGTGCCAGAAAAGACAGAGAGGAGCCTTCCACCGTCACCAGGCAGCAACATGGCACCACCAAATAGGCAGCTGGGACTTTCATCTCCACTGAGTGTTAATCACCCCACACACAGTGTCAGTGGAGACCATGTGGGAAACTTGATGGTGACTGGACACTCCTTCTGCTCCCCACTGGGGTGATGCCCCTCAGAGGAGGCGTTGTACAGAGCCAGACCACTGCCCAGCTGTAACAAGCCACCTCTTCCCTGTGCTGGCTGTAGAAGCCGCTTGGGGAGCAGTAACAAGCTACTTCTACCACTCCCAGCCAGGTACCAGTGGAGGCCTAGGGGAGAGCCAGAATTCCCACCCACCCTCACCCAGCACTAACGAGGAGCTTCTGCCTCGGTATCCACAGAGGCTGAATAGGGAACCTGGACTTACACCCCTACCTGGCAGTATCCCCCTTTTCCAGAGCAGAATCAGGAAGTCAGCCAAAACAGAAGATTAAATAAGATCCAAAATCTTCTAACACATTACCCAAAATGTCCAGATTTCAATAGCAAATCGCTGGTCATACGAGATCTCCAATTGAATGGAAAAAAGACAGTCAAGAGAAGTCACTATCTAGATAACAGAGATGTTAGAATTATCTGGGAAGCACTCTAAAGCAGCTATCATAAAATGGCTTCAACAAGCAATTATGAATACACTTGAAACATCAGAAAGTTTCAACAAGGAAAAAGAAGATATAAAGAAGAACCTATTGCAAAAGGACAATTATTGTATGAGACCGCTATTACAAGAACTCAAGAAAAGGTTTAAACACAGAAGAAAACATTCTTTGATGGTTACGAGGGTGCGGAGGGAGGGAGAGGGGAATTCACTAACTAGATAGTAGAAAAAAATTATCTTGGGTGAAAGGAAAGACAACACACGATACAGGGGAAGTCAGCACCACTGGACTAAACCAAAAGTTAAGAAGTTTCCTGAACACAACCAAACACTTTGAGGAACAGAGTAGCAGGGGTGGCGGTCCGGGGACCATGCTTTCAGGGGACATCTAGGTCAATTGGCATAACAAAGTTTATTAAGAAAATGTTCTGCATCCCACTTTAGTGAATGGTGTCTGGGGTCTTAAAAACTAGTGAGCAGCCATCTAAGGTGCATCACCATTGGTCCCAACCCACCTGGAGCAAAGGAGAATGAAGAACACCAAAGATACAAGGAAAATATTAGCCCAAGAGACAAAAGGGGACACATAAACCATTAGCCTAGACCAGAACTAGATGGTGCCTGGCTACCACCAATAACCACCCTGACAGGGAACACAACACAGAGTCCTGGATGGAGCAGGAGAAAAGTGGAGTGCGCAACTCAAATTCACATTAAAAAACCAGACTTAATGGTCTGACTGAGACTGGAGGAACCCTGGAAGACATGGCCCCCAGACTGCTAAACCAGAACAAAAACCATTCTAGAAGCCAACTCTTCAGACAAAGAATAGATTGGAGTATAAAACATAAAATGATACTCATGAAGAGTGTGCTTCTTAGTTCAAGTAGATACACTAGACTAAATGAGCAGCTCCTGTCCAGAGGCGAGATGAGAAGGCAGAAAGGGACAGGAGCTGGTTGAATGGACATGGGAAATCCGGGGTGGAAAGGAGTGTGCTGTTACATTATAGGAATAGCAACTAGGGTCACATAATATGTGTGTAAATTTTTGTATGACAAACTAACTTGAGCTGTAAACTTTCACCTAAAGCACAATAAATAAATAATTAAAAAAAAAACCTAATGGAAATTTTAGAATTGAAAATC